CTTAAATGATGTCATTGACATGTATTTCAATCTATCTTCGTTTTTGTCTCAAGGCATTATTAATATTAGCCAGTCATAGTTCACTTAGATTTACTCATATATAGACCCTCTTCCCAACACATACACACACTTCTCAGAACTTCCACCTTGGAACCACTTTGCTTCTGTCTGAAGAAATTTCAGGAATTTCAGAGAGGCTGGTGGTGGTGAACTCATTCAGTTTCCGCTTGTCTGAAAATGTCTTTAGTTTGTTGTCCTATGAAGAAAATCTGTGTATTGCAGAACTAGCATGATAAATTGGAATCGCTCTGGGGATGCTGGGGTGCTGACAGCCTGACTCCTTTTGGGCGCAGGCTTCTGACCCACCAGCCATCCCTGCTTGCTTGCCCAGGAGTGGTCCCTTGCCTCTTTCATGTTTCCAATCACTTCCTCTCATCAAAGGCCACTTGAATCTTACCAGTTCTCTGCAGCTTCCTCAGAGTCACCCTAATGCCCAGAAATCCCTCCCTTCTAGGGGGCCCAAGTATGATAGCATACTCTGGAAGGTGCTCCTTCTTAGTGGGCTGAGGCCAGTGGAGTGGCGTGGTTTGGGTTTGATTCCTGACACATCCTGAAAGCTTGGTGTTGTGACATTGGCTCAGTCCCACTTACTCAGGGGGCTGAGGCAGCATTGTAGCACAGAGATACGCACTCAAAAAAAAAAAAAATATAGAAGTGGAGGCTATTCAGTAACTGACATGGTGCAGTTTCCATGTGAAAAAATGATATGCCTATTCCAAAAGAAAATCCTAGCAGATTAAATATCTAAACTGGAAAAAGCAAAACTTTGAAACTACCAGAAGTGTAGGACATATCTTTATGATCTATCTTAGGAAATATTTATTAAATAGACATGGAACGTACCAACTTAAAAGACTGTGAAATTTCACTTTATGAAAATTATAAATTTCTGTACAGTTAAACAAATGAAAAAACAAATGTCACACTGGAATTAATATTTATACGATATGGAACAAGGAATTAGCATCTTGAATACATAAGAAATGTTGAGTGAGTGAGGAAAAGCCTTATAGGTCTAGTAGAAAAAAGGGTCAAGGATATAAACGGACAATAAAGAGAAATAAACCAATAGACAGATTTCCACTTAGGAAGAAATGATAACTTCTTCATTTGACTCAGTGACTTCATCGCTGGGAAGGAGGGGCACAGACTTTCTAGAAAAGTGAACCACAGACCAGCTTGTTTCTAATTTTCCTTCAGATTACTCAAACACTTTTCTGTAAACAGTCCCTGTTTGGATTCCTCCCCCTCCCTTTGCTGCTTCTCATGATGGCGGCTGGGTACAGGAACGGGCCTTCCTGAGTCTGCGTACCACCCTCATCCTGTCTCGTCCAGATTGTTTCCCAGGTGTTTGCAATAGGGTGAAATGCTGCTGGAGACAGAATGAGGGAAAGTGAGAAGTCACCTCCCTTGCAGGATGGCCATGCTGTAATCTCTTCTCCTCCATTCTCCTCCTGGGATTCTGGGCATGCACGCACATGTGCCTGGCATGATTTTCAAGCCACTGGGTGTAGGACTCAAACAGCAGTTGGCCATGTGGCTATCCAGTGCCTTAACCACCACGCCACCTGCTGGCTGCTCTGATTTTTAACAGGGGAGTAAGACAAAACCCTCTTTTTTCTTGGCCTTCCCCTCAACTGATACTAAGGATTTTAGTGAGGAACACTTAACATTCTGTATTCTTTCTTTCCTACATCATGCTCTTGGTAAAGAATGGCCTTTTTCTCCTTCCAGTCTCACCCAGTTAGACCTCATCCTCTCTGCACAATGGTTTATATTAAAACTATGTTTAGACCTCCCAAACTTGGCCTTGATATTTACAGGTTGCCTAAGAAATTGAGGCTGGCCTTGCAGCTCAGCAGTTAGCACTGTGCATAGAAACTGGGTCCCACGTGCTGACCACGGTCTGAATGCTGGCCCTGGTGTGGGCGTGTGCATTTGCATGCCTCATTTCAATAGGATGGAGGAAGGGAGAAGAAAGAATTGTGGTGTGACCACAGCCCACCGGGGGTGACTTCTTTCTTACCTCTTTTTTGTAAGTGTATTCACTCTCATAAAATAAAATAAAAACCTTTATAACAACACAAAGAAATTAAAATGTAACTTTTCTGCCTGGAGAAATTTTGATTCTCTTTGTATGTGCCTAGCAAAGGACTAAAAACAGAAGCTTTGAAATCCCTGGTTAAAAATCTAGATTGTACCTTTACTCACTACTAAAAAGGTTAAAACCCCTAAATTTGATGTGTGGTAAACTGAAAAATGGTAAGATTTACAATGTCTGAAAAAATTCAAATTATAATTAAAAATATTATTCTGATTACACATGAAACATTGTATTATCGTACTAGTAATCAGGAAAGAGCAAAAGATAAAAATGAGATACCGCTGGCAAACAATTTAAAGTCTGTTGATATGGGGCCAGCAGGAGGTGTGGTAGTTAAAGGTGCTGGACTCCCACATGGCCAACCACGGTTCGAGTCCTGATCCTGGCAGCTTGCTCTCACTCTTTCATCAAAACCGAAAAATAATGATAATAAATAAATCTGTTTTTAAGAAAAAAATTTTAAGCATTATTTCATTTAACTTTACTTATTTATTCATTTAAATTTGACCAGAGAGGGACAGAGCGAGAGAGAGAGATAGAGAGAGAAAAAGAGAGAGAGAGAGAGAAAGAGAGAGAAAAAGTGAGAAAGCAAGCTGCCAGGTCCAGGACTTGAACCGTGGTCAGCCATGTGGGAGTCCAGCACCCTTTACCACCATGGCACCTGCCAACCCCCTAAATAAATAATTCTTTAAGTAAAAAAAAAAATAAAGTTTGTTGATATGACGACGTGAAAGACTCCTAGAAGCTGTTTAAACTGTTGCTGACTCTGGGAAGAAGCTGGCGGTATCTGTGTGTACCCACCCTACCACCCACCCACACAGGCCTACAGAAACTTCCCCGGGTGCACGAGATGACCAGTGTGAGGATGTTTATTGCAGTCTTATTTGTTAATAATGAAAACTGCGGAACCAGCAGTTAGCGTAATGGCTATGTCGCTGGACTCCCACGTAGTCGACCGCGGTTCGCGTCCCGGACCCGGTGGCTTAAAACTCACACCGGGTGTGTGTGCGTGCGTGCCCAAGCTCCCGAGAGGAGAATGGAGCAGAAGGGATTGCGGCATGACCATCCCCTCTGGGAGGTGATTTCTCGCT